CCAAGACTGTCCATTAACCCAGTGCCCAGGGGTTCCATCTCCACTTCCTCAGCCCTCAAAGTCCATTTGGTGCCCAAATTCAAGCCTCAGCTTCTCAAAGATCTGCTGCTTCCCTTGGGCGAAGGAGATGAAGGTGCCATCTCCCCAGCACGTTTTAATTGCATCACCAACCTCTGCCAAGCCCCAGGGGTGGGGGGAAGCCAGGATGTTAATAAATACCCCCTCAGCACATCCTCACCTGCCAAGGATGGGCCCCCCCAAGAAAAATGAGCAGCCTGCAGGAGTGTGAATCCTGTTCATGACATCTCAAATGAGGCTGGATGCTGCCCAGCCAAGCAGCACGGGAGAAGAGGGGGTGAAGGATGGTGAACAGGGAATATTGAGCTGCTAATTAGCATTTCTTAACGGGCACCAACCAGCCTCTCCTGAGGGAAAACCCACAACGAATGCAAGAGCCCCAAAACCAGCTGAGAGGTGACCGTTTCAGGTGGAGCTTTGCTTGATTCAAATCAGCATGAAAGTGGGTGGGTTTAGGTACAGAGAACCCTGGCAGGTGCCCAGCCCTGCTCCTGCTTCCTGGCAGTTCTGGAGGTGGGAAAAACCCACGGAGCAAAATGGGAGGGGATGATTTTAGGAGTCTCTCTGAGGTCACACCTATAGAAGCTTGGGGGGTGGGGGGGGTTTGGAGTAGGAGCACAAAGGGTGATGCAGGTGGGGACTGCACCAAGGTGCTCCTGAGCAGAGGTGGGCAGTGAGGCAGCACGGGTGCAATTAAAAGAGCTCGTTAGCAAAGGGTGCTAAGAAGTTTGCAAGAAGTCCTGCTCGAGGGCCTCCCTAACCATAAACCAGGGGTAATAATCCCACAGACCCTATCTCTGCTGTCAGAGGAACACGGGAACTGCTGTGCAGTCCCCAGGCTTGGGGAGGGCTGAGCACTAACACACCTCAACACACCCACCCCCAGCACTAGGAGGGCTGTAAAGGCAGAGGAGACCCAAAACTACTGCACAGGGAGGGGGTAGCAAGCAATGCCTCACCCTCTCAGGTGGGGATGAAGCTCAAGGTGAAGCCACAGGTCCACCCAAGTGCCTCACCAGCCACTAGCAGCAGGGAGATGCCCACGACCTCCACGCTCCTCATGGTGTTAAGGAAGCCTCTCAGCAGTGGTCAGGAGTGACAGCCTGTTTGGGGACACCCAGTTCAACACACATTCCCTGTTGTTTTGGCAAGTGACACCCGTGGGTGGCTCTAGCAAGACCCCCAGTGCATCTCTGGCTGGGGGAGAAACCTTGAGCCACGTGTTCACTGGTGGGATGCCCAGCTGGGCCATAGCAGCAAGAAGGTGCCACCAAGGCAGGACAAAACAGGCACACCAGGCTCCTCAAATGCCAGCCACCCTTGGAAAGCACCTGAATAATCTAGGGGGGTTTTGAGGGGGACATCCAGGGCCAAGAGGGATGACACTCAGATACCCTTGGACTCCTTAGTCCCGTCTCTTGGGACTTTGGGATTCTGTCCCTTCCCCAGTTGCAGTCCCAGTCTGCCACAACCCCCTCCCTGCACGTTCCCACTCTCTTTGTGGGGAAACTGAGGCACGGGGCAACCTCAAGGGAGTTGCTCAAGGGCCCAGATGGCAGAACCACAGATGCCACCCACAGCAGCACCCGTGCAGCACCACCTGCCCTTCACAGTGCTCCAATCCCAAACACAGGTCCAAGCCCCTTGGAGACAGCAGAGCAGGTCCCCTCCCCTTGGGGACCCCTTCCCTGTCCAGGCCCCAGATCCAAAAACCACCAAGAGGAAAAGGAGCAGCTATCCAGCTCCCTCTCCTGTAGAGATCCCACTAGCCAGACCTGGCTCAGAGCTATGGACATGGCTGTGGGGGTGACCCACACCTGCTCTGACACCTGCTTGTCCACCCAAACCCAACGAGGTGGGCACAAATCATGGGTCTGGGGTTGCTGGGGATGGTGCAAGCAGCACTGAGAGATGCCAGGTTGCTGGAAGGATGCTCAAACTCACCCACCAGGGCTCATGGACACACAAACAGGCACCCATGGTGGTTCCACACACTGACCCAAGGTGACAGTGTCCCCGAGGAGCTCACAGCACCAGCAGTGACGTGTCTTGGGCTGGGGGGTCTCCAGCTCCAGAGGCTCTGAGTTACCAAGCCTGGGGCTTGCAAGACCTCTCCACACTTCTAGGGCTTCTGCCATGCAAAAGTGAGGCCCAGGCCAATGGCAGTAGCAGTAATAGTAGTAATAACAATAATAGAAAAGTAATAAAAATCATAAAGCAACAACAGCAACCATGCACAGCAAAGCAGCACAACAACAACAATAACACCCACACAGGGCAAAGTGGCCATGCCACCTTCAAAGCAAGCCTTTCTCTCACAGGAGGGCACTTCCCAGGAGTCACCAAGCCCAAACCCTGGCAAACAGGGGGGGCTGTGAGGTGCCCCCTCCTCCCAGTCCCAGCCCCAGCATCCTGGCCTTGGTGACATTAAGCAGGAGATGAAAGCAAACCCGAGCCTGGCACCCCCAGTGCTGGCCCGGGGTGCAGCTGGGGCTGCCGGGGCAGATGTTCCTGGTGCTGCCCAGCACATCACAACTGCTGGATGTGCAAAATCCCTGAGAAAACCCTGTCAGAAACCAGCCGAGCATCACCCGGCCCAGCAGCACCGCCCAGCCCCGCACGGCTGGGATGGGAATGGCAGCATCCCAGGCCCTGGGGGCCTCGTGGGATCCAGCTCCACAAGAGCCAGCCCGAGGGGGAGCAGGGGCTGAGCAGCCAGGTGGCCTTTAGGGTGTCGGGGTGTCAGGGGCTGGCAGCCGTGCCCGCCCATCCTCCCACATCCGCCCGCATCCGTTGCCACGGCAACGCTCTCCGGCCGCCTCTGCGCAGCATCCCCGGCGCAGGGCTGGAATGGGGGCTCAGCACAGCCTGCTGCCCCCTCCCCACGCAGCCCCCCAGCCTCCAGCACCTCATCTCTTGCTGTCCTCACACCCCCTCCCCAGCATCAACAGTCCCCACCTGCCTCCATCTCCGGACCAAGGGGGGTGCCCGTGCAGCTCCCAGGCCCACACAGCACCCAGGACCAGGGGCTTTTTTTGCAGCACTGAAAGGTCCAAGGGCCTTGATGAAGAGCTGAGGAGCAAACCCAAGCCAGGGCCACACACTCCCTGCACACACGGCTGGCACAGAGGGGCAGTGCCACCCCAAGGGACACACCAGAGCCTCAGTTTTGGGACGACGCTCCTCCAGAGGAGGGTGGCATCTCAAAAACCATCACGAGGTACCCAAGGTGCTGCTGGAGCAGTGAGAGATGGAGAAGGTTTGCAGGACCTGGACACAACCCCCAGAGGGCTGCTGGGTGGCATCTGCCTGCTGGGGTGGTGGGAAATCTGCACAAATATCCCACGAGATGTAAAAATGCAGTGACTTGTTGCAGGTGGGGTCAGAGGGAAGAGGGTCCCTGTGCACAAGTGGCAACAAGGCCTTGCTGTGAACCCCCAGCATGAGCACAGGAGGGGTTTTTTGGGTGGCTGAAAGCTGCAGGAGCCCAGCAGGTTTGGGCAGATGTGCCTCACCCTGGGGAAGCTGGTGGGAACCACCTGGATCATAGGAGCCTGGATAGAACCCGGGGGCAGGAGCACTTGGAGGCAGCACCTGCAGGTGGGATGGGAAGTGATGAGCTCTGAAGCCTTTTTCCAGCAGGCTGCAGGAAAGATGACTCTGCTGGAGGACACACAAAGCAGGAGCCCTCACCTCCAGCCAGCCATGCTGGAAGCAGAGTGTGGGCCTCCTGCCAGGACAAGCCTTGGGTGACTGTGCCTTGAGCTGGGTGACAACCCAGAGGATGCACCAAGCATCCCTAGCACCTCCACAGCACCCAGCCCAGTGCTGCAGCACCCAGGGATGCTGCAGGGCAGGGAACAGCACTGAGGGCCCGGGTTGCTGCACGGGGGGGGGAGAGCAGCAAGGAGGCCCAGATGCTGCAGGGGGGACCCCGACCCCGAGATGCTGCAGGGGGGACCCCGACCCCGAGATGCTGCAGGGGGGACCCCGACCCCGAGATGCTGCAGGGGGGACCCCGACCCCGAGATGCTGCAGGGGGGACCCCGACCCCGAGATGCTGCAGGGGGGACCCCGACCCCGAGATGCTGCAGGGGGGACCCCGACCCCGAGATGCTGCAGGGGGGACCCCGACCCCGAGATGCTGCAGGGGGGACCCCGACCCCGAGATGCTGCAGGGGGGACCCCGACCCCGAGATGCTGCAGGGGGGACCCCGACCCCGAGATGCTGCAGGGGGGACCCCGACCCCGAGATGCTGCAGGGGGGACCCCGACCCCGAGATGCTGCAGGGGGGACCCCGACCCCGAGATGCTGCAGGGGGGACCCCGACCCCGAGATGCTGCAGGGGGGACCCCGACCCCGAGATGCTGCAGGGGGGACCCCGACCCCGAGATGCTGCAGGGGGGACCCCGACCCCGAGATGCTGCAGGGGGGACCCCGACCCCGAGATGCTGCAGGGGGGACCCCGACCCCGAGATGCTGCAGGGGGGACCCCGACCCCGAGATGCTGCAGGGGGGACCCCGACCCCGAGATGCTGCAGGGGGGACCCCGACCCCGAGATGCTGCAGGGGGGACCCCGACCCCGAGATGCTGCAGGGGGGACCCCGACCCCGAGATGCTGCAGGGGGGACCCCGACCCCGAGATGCTGCAGGGGGGACCCCGACCCCGAGATGCTGCAGGGGGGACCCCGACCCCGAGATGCTGCAGGGGGGACCCCGACCCCGAGATGCTGCAGGGGGGACTCCGACCCCGGGATGCTACAGGGCAGCCGCAGGCCGGTGCCGCAGGGAGGAGCCCGGCGAGCGGGGGGGATGCTCGGGGCCGGTGCTGCCGGGAGGGGAGCGGCCCCACCTCACCCCACCGCTGCCCCTCAGCATCCCCCTCCCCTCCCCTCCTCCAAAAACCCCCTCATCCCTCACCCAGCACGAAGTAAGGCAGCTCCGTGTTCTCCAAATCATCCACCACCACCATCTCGCCGGGGAAATCGTTGCGGACGGAGAAGAGCAGCTTGGGCTCGGCGGCCGACGGGCCGTGCATGATGCTCAGGTCGTTCTCCCGCAGGAAGGGCAGAGCCGACACCGTGATGCTCTTCAGCTTGCACTCCAGCTCCTTGGGCGCCGCCTCCGCCTCCCCGGGGCCGGT